GACATCCCATCATACTCTACCGACATCCCATCATACTCCCATCACACAGCCTACAGAGAAGCAAACCAATCACAGATCAATGAGTGTCCAAACCACGCCACAAATCTCAAACACGACCATATTCAGTTGTTCTTTAGCGGATCTCTTCTACATGGAGCGCTGGGCTGCACCGGGCCATGTGTTCTGCTCTGAATCTGTTCATGCCAATAGTTCAGTAACACAACAGCTCCTGCTCCTTATCTCCTGCACAGGAAGGTCAGAGCACATCCTGCAGCTGAAGGCTGGCATCCCTCCATCCTGCTGCCCCAGCACAGCCGCCTGACGTCTGCGTTTGTTTTCAGCTCTGCATCAGCATAATCTGTTATTTATTATCACAGAGAGAATATCGAAGGCAGCAGCGAGAGGCACATTCAGATCATTTCCTTAAATAAAAGCAGGAATACAAACAGACTCCCTCAGACCTCCGCATTCAGAATGAATATAATGACAGCAGGTTTTAGGTAGATCCTGAAACAACCAAACTGCCCCAGAGCTACATGAATATACTTCTGGTAGATCAGTCATAGCAACTGGACCTGCTTGAGTTCCCTGAAGACGTTCCACCTCTCATCCAAGAGGCTTCCTCGGTTCTGACTGGCTAGCTGGGAGCTCCACATACTGAAGGAGACATCTGGAACCCCAACTAGTCAGAGCTGATGAAGCCTCTTGGATGAAGGTGGAACGTCTTCAAGGAACTCAAGCAGGTCCAGCTGCTGTGACTGATCTACCAGAAGAACCACGAGCTGGAGGACAGAGAACCTTCACAGACATCCATCAATATACATTTTAGAAACAAATTAACATGCATCATAAGATTGCAAGCAGCTCGTTAAGACGGAGCTTCTTAAAAACAACTTTTATCGTCACATTGGATTATATTTTATAAATATTTTTGTCTCTACCAGTTTTCAGTAACTATGGCTGTCAAATAAAAGAAGTAAGGAAACACACGTCCCTCTGAAATGTGACGGACTGGACGTATGAAGCAGCATAAAACGGAGATAATAACAATAATAAGTCATTTACAGTCACATGCATGTGGATCAGTAAAGGTACGACTCGATCATGGTGTTCACACGTTGTTTACTCAGCCTACAGCGTCTTGTGTTGACCATCTAGGTGTATTCTGTTTTATTGTAATCTGATTACTTATTAACCACGGCAGACGGGAACTTTGACCCGCCGTGAAGTCTCGCCTTTCCCCAAACACCTGGACAGCGAATCAAGACACTGGCACAGAGATGATTGTTTTAAAATCATTGACTGATTTCACTGATTTACAGACGAGATAAACGAGTAGCTCCATGTTTTCCATCACAGTGACGGGACGGTGAGTCATGGCCGCCGGCACCATGTGAAACACACCCAGTTATGAGCTACACACTACTGGGTTGCTCAAGCCAACCTGATGCTATCAGAAGCATCAACACGTGAGATATCAGCGTCAATAAAACGATCATATCTGCTTCAGAGTTCCTTCATGAAAACAAACCTGAACCTGTTTCCTCCTCCTGCTGCCATGTTTTAGTCTGAATGTGTGTCACGTTAAACAGAGATGATGAATATCTGTATCTGAGCAGAAACAACCAGACGAGCTCTGGCATAGACGGTGGCTTCTAAACATTTTTCTTCTTCACTCATAAACGCTCCAGCCCTCATATGAACTCACCATGTTAAGAAAACCTGATTTATTCATGACATATGAGCACCTGCTCAGATCAACCAGGACCTGGAGTTCACTTTGTGTGGATACAGCTATGAAACATCAACAGCACAGACACTGAGCAGGACGGCGCGTTGCCTTCACGCCTCTCAGACCTCCTACTCCACTCAACATGCCACCTGATACAGAAGCTGAAGACGTTTCCCACAAAGCTTCTCTAGAAGCTAAACAAGACGACCAGGAAGACCATTAAAGGCCTTTGACCTCCTCTCTGTGCTTTTATGAGCATATGGGGGCATGATGATCCTGAATACGGGAACATTATAAAGGGAAGTGTTTCTGCTGGCTGTGGGGCACCTGGTGCTGCACAACGCCTTCCTACACCTTCCTTACTTGTCATACGATATTGTGGAGCAGCCAGCGACTCCACCAGATGGCCACCCATAAATTACAGATAAACCCGGTTTAACACAAAGTACGGCTGCAGCGATTGTTGTTAGCGTCTCCAGCCGATCTCCAAACTAGGACAGAAAACAGCTCTGGGTGGTGCTGGAGCTTCCACACGACTGTATTTTGTGTTCGTTGCATCTCTGTGCACTGAAACTAACAACCAGCTTCTCTGTCAGTCTCATGATGCAAAGTTTCTGTTGAAGCCGTCACTTTGCAGTCGGCGGTTCGACTGAGGTTGTCGTTAGCGTTTGTTTGGCGTCTATCGCTGACCATCACCGTGTCCATCTGCCAGCAGAGCGTCTCTCTGGTTTTACACGGTTTCATTATTTTGGTGCTAAATTACATGATTTTACAGTTCTAATTGCTCAGGAAGGAAATATGAACTACTTATAACCCTAATTATTTATCTGCAAGTCAAAATATAAATGTAGCCAGAAAAAAAAAAGAAAAGAAATTTTAAAAAAACAAAACAGACTCTTAGTGATTCAGCTGAACTGCAGGCCGTGTTAACGGCAAACAGGAGGAAACCATTTAACACACAAGCAGAACAAAACCTTCAGTATGTAGAGGAAATATTTTGGGAATTTGTTGTCTGTTGATTCCATGTTGTCTGAATTTTTGTACCAACATTAAAAAAAAATAAAAAATCTACTTTTTTTATTTTTGGTGTTTCTGCCATGACAACGCTGTCATACTGAGACGTTTGTGAGTTCTCTCTGCTTCCAGTTATGGTCGTGTGGTTTTCACAGAAGGTGCAGGACTTGATTTTGCCGTTAAGGAGCAAAACCCACCAACAGACACTCCGATGTTCAGGTGGTTAAAGTGAGAAATGACTGAATGACTCGCGGCCTTTCTAACAGTCATAAAGCTACAGATCCGGTGAATCCAGACGGTACCGGCTGCCTCGTGTTTCTGACCCTCTGTGGGACCTGACACCGGGCTCTGTGAATGCTGAACCACGTGGCAGCAGGACTTTTTCAGCCCAACAGGTCAGAGGGATATTATCTCACAGGCAGCTGTGAAAGGCAGAACTCTTTCTCACCCTTTTCCAAGATGGTGACATGATGGTCAGCGTGCAGCACATCCACAAACCGTCAGACCAGAGGTGTCGGTGGAGGACAGGCGGGCCTCCGGCTCAGCAGAACCAGCGAGCTTTGTCTCCGACTGCAGCCTGCACTTAAAGGCGCTGCAGAGCTTGTGTGTACACGTGTAAAGCTTCTGAGCGCTCAAACGTCAGGCAGCAGGGAAACGTAGGCCAAAGGCTTGTTTACACAGAATCCCTAAACCAAAGACAAATCTGGTAATGACAGCGTGGTGGGCGTTCACTGCAGCACGGCGCTGTGGTTGTGCTGCGTTTCATTAAAGCCATCTTGGCAGGCCAGAGCTGACCTTTAACGGCTTCTTTTGCTCAGTTCATTTCAAATCGGTGATCCATGTTAGAGCCTGGTGGAGCTTCAGCCGTGCGCTCACTGGCTGTGCTGAGCGGCGTGGCTGAGGAGTGCTGCGTAGGCAGCTTGTTTGTTTTGGTGTGAGAGGGAAGTCTTCAGGAAGTCAAAGCAGAAGACCGTTTCAGGTATGAAAAGAGCGCTCACCTGATTTAAATCAGAGGAAAACAACTGCTGATTAAATCTTTTGTTAAATAAATCAGACTCTGAGGCTTCAGACTTATCAAAGCCAGAAGGTGAACACATCTTGACAGATCGGTGTCTCTGGGTGGTAGCGGCTCCTTCCTCCTGTGAACAAAGTGAAATTCAAACCCTGGACTTGCTTCTCCCTCGGGAAACACTACAGAAACCTCCCGATCCGGTCTTGCGTGACTATGAAAAGCGACGCATAACTGCCATCTCGCCTGTCCTGTTTAACTACTCCAATCACAAAGTCACATATCATCATCATCGTCATCACGGGGCCGCTCAGCACTCAGAGACAAAGCAGGAGGAGGGTGTGGGATCACCACGTCTCAATATAGTGTCTCCTGGAGAGAATCAGAGCCTCTGATTGGTGAAGCTGTCAAACAGGTCAACTCCCATGTGAGTTAAAACACTGTGTGCCTGTTGGACTAATTTTAACTGTCGCAGGAGCTTCGCTTCCTGATTCTGGAGCTACTGGACCAACCTGTGACACAGTTAAGATTACACACATCTTCATTATAAAGAGGCTAAAGGCAGCTTCAGCATCAGGCTGGATGGCTGGAAACTCTTGTCTTGAGCTGCACCCGAGGCAAAAAATGTTAAGTAGACACATTAAATTAATCTTTTATCCTATTTGCACACTCCTTCCTCTCTTATCCGCTCCTTCCTTCTGTTCTCTTCCAGGAGGATGTGGCCGGCTTCCTGCCACACGACCTCTTGCTTCCTGCCCCGTCCATCATTTCACAATCACTACAGACCAAACTGAGCTCACCTCCAATAAAGGCCCTGCAGGGTGGAACAGTCAGCATCTCCCCAGAGAGGTTCAGTCATGAGAAACCGTTTTTACCACCAAACCCACAAGTGTTTGGCTCACAAACACAAAACTTTAATCAATTAAATCTACATCTGCTAATTTAACTTGTTTAAGAAACAAGATGATGCTGTTTGATGTAAAACCTGGAACCTGTGGCACTAGCAGCACGAACACAAGCAGCTCCTCTGACCTACTGGAAGAGAAAAACAGAAATAAAAACACCAGACCGTAGCAGGAGGACGCAGAAAAGAAAAGGCTGTTGGTTGACTCAACAGTCCGTCATGCGGTTCTGTAACAGCGAGTCCTTCAAACTGAATCGTGCTCATTTCCAATCACAACCAGCAGACTTCCAAATGAGGTTTAAAATAAAAAGATGCCGCTGCAGCACATTTCCTAAAACCGCCTCGCTACAGAGCAGAAGTCACAGTCCTCTCATGTTCAGGGCGCTCGTGTTTAGACGGAGATCTGCAACAACATAATGAAATTACAGACGAGCAGCGCTGAGATGGAGGGCAGCAGAACCAGAACTAAAACGAGACTGAAGGAACGTTTTAAACTCCAACAACATGCCCTATTAATCCTCTGTAGGTAACCTCCTGTGGTACCGATCCAGATCCACGGCACCGACCACACCAGGTTACAGCTTCTTGGGTTTCAGGGAAACCGGACTGACGACATCCCGCCTCACATTCCCTCCATACCCACGAGTCACACGTCCAATCAGCTCCACAATTGGAGACAATTAAGGGACACAAAGGCCGAGCTGTGCCCCACATCCAGGACCCGTACTCACATGTGGTGCAGTTCACCCACTGGCAGTCAGGAAGGCTTCCACAGGACGCACACGCCAGCGCTGAGCATCCATCTGGGGAGAAAGCAGTGACAGTAACTTCCTACATGACACTCCACAAAAGGCACAAAGGAGATGTTGACTCTCTGGGCACTAAGCACACAGAGCAGGGCAATACAGGGCAATACAGGGCAATAAATCCTCCAGTGTGGCACGGCGGGGGTAATGTGATGTCAGTGTTACATAACAGCCTGGTCTGGTCTCTAATGAGCTGACCAGTGGAGCCACACCAGTCCTGAGCGGACCAGTGGAGCCACACCAGTCCTGAGCGGACCAGTAGCAGAAACCCAGCAGGTAGCAGCACCAACGTGATTCCAGGTCACTCAGCTTGCTAGCAGCTAACGCGTTAGCCGGTCCTGGTAACCTGGGTCCTGCTGGCCAGCGTGGAAGTGAACTGACGAGCTGCCAGCAGGAATGTGTTTATCTCGGTGAGCTACGAAGGAAATAAAGCCGATAGGTGACAACTAGGAAGCGGAGCCGTGAACCGGGGCCCTGCCGGGACTAACGCCGGAGCCACACGGACGGCTGGAGTGAGTTTACCGGGCGGGCGGCTAAAGGGAAGCTGGAGGGAGCTAGCCAGCCGCTAGCTCGGCGATGAGAGGTCGCAAAAACTTACCTGCGTCCGCTGCGGCTGCTGCGCCAATCAGAGCCAGAGCCACCGCCAAAAACGCCACCTTCACCGACATGACTGCGGCCGCCTGAGAGCTCGGGCTGTGGGTTCGGGAGGAAACGAGGCTCGGTGGAAACGTCGAGAATGAGACTTGGGAGATTTCTGGGCTCCCTGCTGCTCTCTGCGTCCGCTGCTGCTGCTGCTGCTGCTGCTAGCTCGACACTTCCTACTTGACAGGTCATGTGGCGCTGCTGGCGGGGAGGGCTCAGCAGAAACACGTCGGAGGAAACGCGCACGGCTTTAACGCGCAGCCCCACTTCTGATTGGCTGAGACGGAGGCCACAAACACCTGACGGAGGCATACCTGTGAGCCGCAGCCATCTGCCTTAATACGGTATAAAAAATAAAAACAACTATAATCTGTCCACATGCTGCAAACTGAGCACACAAAAAAGTCTGTTCGGCCAATTGTTGTGTTTGTTTTCAAATCAGTTTAAATTCTTTATTTCGAACATATAAAAAATAGAAAGAAAAAAAAAAATATATAAAATCAAATAAAGAGAAATACTGAGACTTCATGTGAGTGACAGACAATATATATATACACACACACACACACACATACCCATATCTATACATACACATATATCCATATGAAGAGTTCATGTTCAAAAACAGAGAACTCAGTTTTTGTAGATTTTCAGAAAACGTATTTTTTGTTGTTTGCTTGAGATGATGTCCATCAAACTGATCTGAGTGGATCTGACTCAGCAGAAATGACACAAACAGAGATAACTGAAGTTTGGTTGATGTTGTCTCAGGTAGACGATGGAAACGTGGGTTTTCTGAAGGTTTGTGGAGATGATGGAGTTATGTGTTTTTGGAAATGAGCTCTTCATATATACTTACATACATCCTGTTGCCACTCCATGAACAGTGGACTCTAAAGGAGAGACAACGTGCTCTCCAACATCGTCTGAATAAATAAATCGTGTGTCTGAAAGCGAGCCGTTCTGTGTTTTACTTGGATCTTTGGTTCCCTCTGTAGCTCCTTGGTGTGATGTTCAGGTTTGGATTCTACCTGGGCAGCTCCAAAATGCTGTAGATGCTTTCTTTTACCCATTTCTTCACCACTTTGACTCTATTTTTTCAGATCAGTGTCTTATGGGTGTCCTCCACCTTCATCTCCTCCAACCCCCAGAACTGATGATCAAGAGCTTTCTTCTTTGTCCATCTGAGTTCTGAGTGAGGTGAGCTTATGTGTGCAGCTTCTCCATCACTTGTTGATGATTCTAGTAATCTTTAACATGTCGTACTGCATTTAAGACCCTGTAAGGTGAGGACAGGATGAGGAGAACAGCTGGATGCAGCAGCTGGCAGCATGACGGTGCACTTTTTAGGACTGTTGCCTTGAGTTTGAACTTGCTTGTCATCTGAGGCCTTTCACTGGGGATGTTCCTGGATGTTTGTGTGAGCAGGTTCTCCCTGCGCCTGCGTCCTGGCTGCCTCCCACAGTCCAGAGTCCGAAGACGTTGCCTCTAGGTGTGGGTGTTTGCGAGCGTGGTTGCTTATCTCTCTCTCTGTGATGTTTGCCCTGCTATGGACTGGCGACCTGCCCAGACTAATACCAGCTGAGATAGGCTTCTGCCTTTATGGTCCTCTCAGCAGGTACAGCTAATAGGTGGATGATCAGACAATCGTCAAGAGTAAATTATGCCTGAAAGGAGCTCAGTGAGCTTCTTATTGTGGATTGTCACTGAGAGCATTTTGGCTGCTCACAAGATGGGAAAAGGCCTTAAAGCCAAATGTGAGCGTCCTCAGTGGCGCCAACGTGAACATCATCTAACAGGGCGAGGACTTGTAAACTGTGAAAGATCTCAGAGAGCCTGGTCAGAAGCCTGAAGTGATCAGCAGGTCAAAGTTAGAGGTCAGGAAGAATCTGAAGATCACCGTCACAAGTAGTCAAGTTACAGGTTAAAGAAAACAATACCAACATGTTGGAGATGTCCAGGTCCAGACCCGAATACCACCAAGAACCAGTGGAGGGATTTAAAGAGAGCCTCGCAACCCTAAACATCTGGAGAACATCTCAACAATTAGTGGAACAAAATCACAGTGAATTGCAAAAACACCACCACCACCACCAACAACAACATGGGAATAGTTCAGATGCATCTTTAACTCCTCCATGATGGGAGGTGTCTTACTATTTTTTTTGTCATTTTCAGGCAGAGGAAAGCTTTCGGTCAAATTAAAACCTCTATGAATCAAACTTTGGCACAGATATGAGTTTATGAGTTATTCGGGGCTTAACTGCCCTCCAAGGTGATAAAGTCTGTGTGTTTACCAGCTGATAGACGTCACTGACACGCTTTGTAAAGTATTCAGATTACATGGCCTCCACCTGGGACAGGTGATTTATTACAGTCATTTATATTATTCTAATTAGTCGCTGATGAGTATATTTATATTTGCAGTAGCTAAAACTGCACTTACTCACAAAACATACCAACATTTGCCTTAATCTTTTTTTCTCTTCTCTGTCATGAATTTAAATTGTCTTTGTTTACGTTGGATAAACGTTTGTTCCCAGAAAATCCTCTCAACAATCAGACTAAAACAAGGCCACAGCTTTTACACAAAGACCTTCCCCCCTTTACATTCGACTGTGTTCAGTTTGCAGAAACTTCACAGATTTGGTTGTAAATAATATATAAAATATACATTTAATACAAATGACAGTGAAATCCTTTGAGCTGGTATAAAAATCTGTCACACGCAAAAATCAGCTGTAATCTCTGTAAAAGGATGAGCACGCAATTTACAAATACATATGGTTTGGCTTGTTTAAAGAAAAGCTCCTGTCAGGTTACACATGTGTTTTAAGTTAATTTTACTGCATCAAAAACAATGAAAGTATATTTTAAAAGGCACAAGTGTTCAGGAGCTACAGCTTCAACGCTCCACAGGCTGTGACTTTACAGTCATACTTGGGTCTTTCGTTGCAGGTCTTGGCTTCTTCTAACCTCCTCAGGACGTCGACACCCTCAACCACTCGACTAAAACAGAAAAAAGCATCAGGTTTCAGGAGAGCTGCGTTTAAACAGAATGTCTAAATGAAATAAGTGTCTTTAAATTCATGTTAGTGACACAAACCCAAAGGCAACGTAGGTCTTGTCCATCCAGGGCGTCGGCTGCAGGGTGATGTAGAACTGGGATCCGTTGCTGTGAGGACCCTTATTGGCCATTCCTAGAATACCCCGCTTAGAGTGGGAAACAGCAAAGCTCTCATCTGGAAGAGGAAGACAGAGTGAGCTAATGTACGCCCTCTAGCAGTATGTTCTCACTGTGGATGTCCACAAAGTGCTTCTATCTGTACCTTCAAAAGTTGGCCCATAGATGGACTCGCCTCCGTCTCCTCTGCTCTGTGGAGAAATATCTGCAAAATCCAGGTTTAAAATTAAAATGGAACTAGACCACTTGAATGGCCTCAAAAAAAGAAAAAAAAATTAAACATATACTTCATTCTTTAATCTCACAATGTTCTGCTTATGTTCTAAATAAAAAAAAACTAAAAACAAAGAGTAATGTGGATATGATGACCGTGCACTTAGAGGTCCATTTAGCTTAAAGAGAACAGTCAGAAAAGTTCAAGATTAAATTTTAATAAAATTATTATCATAACCACGTCTAAATCAACACAATATCGATATATCATCCACGTCTGTAACTGTTGTGTGCTGTATGGGCTCAACACAGAGATAAACATATAGAAGAACAATAAGTTCTTACAATTAAACTAAGCTGGATGCCTCCGTGTGTAATTCTATTGTGCATGTATTGATTTTATTTTTTTGTTGTGACTGGGCGGGTTCACAGCGTACCTCCACCTTGCACCCAGCCGTTGGGCACAACTCGATGAAACAGGGAGCCCTTGTAGCAGAGCGGGAGGCCGCTCGGCGACACTCCTTGCTCTCCGGTGCACAAAGCCTCGAAGTTCTTTGAAGTCTTTGGACAGACATCTGAGAACAGCTGAGGAGAGCAGAGACAATGTGATCTGATCACATGGTGCTCTGAAGCCATCATCTATGTTCTTACATTAGCAATTTGAACAATATCACATGTTTATTCACCTCTGATTATAAAGCAGCAGGTTGAGATACAGCAGGTGGAGAGAAGCAATGAGAAAACAGATGAATTTACGCTCCATATGTCAGAGCTGCCTCACCTCAAATAACAACCTCCCTGCTGCTTCACCTGCTACGTCAACGTCCATGAAGACAAACTGATGCTGAAATGAAAGCACAGAGGTGCGTTTTTCATTTTAATGCTTCACGTTAAAGTCAAATTCAGGTTTAAACTCTGGTGGTTTGCAAACTTTCTATACACTGACCTGGAAAAGTCACAAGCTGCATGCAGTAAACCAATTATTTCATTAAAATATAACTGAATTAGGTGCAGAACTTCCTGATAGCAGCCCCAGAAAGGAAAAGAGCCTTGCATGCATCCATATTTTCACCTACATTAGCTCTTTATGTGACCGGGATGTTTACTTGCCCCAGTTTTCTGGAGGTGTTTGGTGTAGAAGTCCTCAGCGAGAGCCGTGTAGAAGGCTTGAGGCCGAGTGAAAGTGAAACTCCACTGATTCTCAGCCCAGCTGGCAAGATCCTTTTCATCGCCGAGGAGAAGGCCGTTGAGAAAGCACATCAGGCTGCTGGAGTACTGCCACACTTCACCACGCAGCTCCTTGAATCACAAGTTTGGAACAATGGACGTGTTGTGATTCAGCATTTTAGAACAACTGAAACGCCAAACTACAGCCGTCTCTCATCGTGTGGGCGTAGAGCATCTCAGATTGCTGCGGTTCACGCATTCAAATCCATTATTTATAACAGCATTATCATCAGTCATTTACACCATGCCATCTATAAATCTGTAGCTTCTATTTTAACATATTTCACAGAAAATGCTGCACTTTTTATTCCACGATGCTTATTTGACAGCTTTAGTTACTGCTTATTTTGCAAATTAAGATTATGTATTGTCCATTTATAAAACTAGTGCTTCGTTATAGATTGTTTATCCAACAAATTATTTTAATTTAGCCTCACTTTGACCATTTACAGTATTTAAATGCCTACACAGGAATGCATCGTGCCATAACAATCCAATGACACGGTAGGAATATAACACTCATAAAGACCATATTCTGTTTCCTATAGTCACTATTTATCTTAAGCATGTTTGGTGTAACCATCATGGTACAACCACAGTACAAACAGGTGTACAGCATGACGAGAACACTCAGGACTGTGAAGGAAACACAGCATGTGACTGGCATCTATCTGACTGTCCTGTTGGTTTAGTTGAATTCATTGGACTGCGACCGCTCACACATTTGTTTTCTTCTTAGTCCACAGAGATTGGAGACGTTATGTATTCTGCAGTATAACTGTGACCAGCTTCAGCCTGAGCAGATGCCTAATTAGCCACAGTAGCTGAGACAGTGCCAGCCTTTTATACACTTCATTATGGTCTTGGTAGTTTCTACCATGTTCTAGAGCATTCTGACACACGATGAACTGCTGGCTGTTCATGTATGCTTCAGTGCATTGTGCTGTTTGGAGGGACCAGGCAACCTTTTACCAAAGTAAACAGCATCATTAAAAACCAGAGCTGCATGAACATACAGGAGAACAACGTTTGGCAGTCCACAGAAAAGCTCGGCCTTGTGCAGCATCAGACCTTCCAGTAAAACAAAGATGTAAATGACACGGTCAAAGTTTCAAGAAATGATTCACAGAAAACATCAGAATCCCACCGAGAAGCTGAGACGGGAACGAAAGACCAGAATGATGGACAGGAAGTCTGTCAACCAGACAGGAAGCAGCGATCAGTGCAAAGACGAGCTGGTCTGAATCCCACTGCAGAAATGCTTAAAGCTTGCTAGAAATGAGAAGAATCGTCTGATCGCTGTGTTGGTGAGAAAAGCTTTGGTTTGACTGAGAAGGCTGTCAGTAGTTTGGCTGGAAATGACATAAACGAGTCCACGTCCCAAACTAATGTTGATGCAGAGCAACAGCTGTAACGGAAAAACAACAACTGTACAGGTGTGAATGCCCCTTTGGTACAGTAGTTTATTTTACAGTTTTAAAATATCTATAGCACTTCTCCTAGCACAGATAAGGAGCAGCTGTAAAACCCTCTCCATCCCTGAACACACCACAGCTCTGCTCTGTGTGGACAGGGTTAGGGTTAGGGCCTACCCTTTTCTTGCTGCACAGAAACGTGTGCCAGTCCAATTCAAAACGTGGTTGAATGTTAGGGTCCAGAAAATCCTCGGGAAACTGTTTTTTCAGCTCCTGTACGTGAGCAGATGCAGGTATTATTATTACATGCAAGGTGAGAATAAATGAGTGTCATTGTGAAACAAAACAAACAAAAAGAGCGGTTTACCTCCGCAACGGTTCTGGCTACATGGAACCTGCTGTCTTTAACTAATCCCACAATTTCTAGCTGTGTTTTTGAGGCCATGACTGGACAGAAAACACAAGAAAGAAACCAGCACTCTGTAGACAAGCGCCTCGTATCCATAGCAACACGGAACTGAAGGCGCTTTAATATGGCGTCACGTCACACACGTCGGGCTGCGGTCCGATTCGTTAGCGCACTCTCCTTCTTCACACCTTGCTTTGTTGAAGTTATGATAATTTAAGGTTTACGACCCACATTCACTAAATAAATTATGACTGACTGCGTACATTAAAATGTAAAAAATTAGATTCACTTTGTTTTCAAAGTGGAGATATTTAATACAGCAACAAGGACGCGTCGTGAGGAGACCCTGGACGGATTGGAACGCGGCCCAACGGCGCCACTGTTTGAAATTTGCGACTCGTTGTTTTGTGTTGTGTTGTTTTAGCGTTTGCGTTTTATTTACATTCACCCGCGTTTAGTCGGTTAGAATCCACTTTACCGGGACTATGGGGGTTCATGACCTGTGGTCCATCGTGGAGCCGCTTCGGGAGTCGGTGCCGCTGTTCAGTCTGAGCGGAAAGACGCTGGCGGTCGACCTGAGTTTGTGGGTTTGCGAGGCTCAGCATGTCCAGGCGATGATGGGGAGGGTCACGAAGCCCCACCTCAGGTAGCACTCACTTATTCTTCTTCTTTACAGATTATGTGCAGTTGTTTCAACAACATGTCTTTGTGGTGGTCGGTTCCGTCAACCCGGTGCCCTTCTGTGTCCAGGAACCTGTTCTTCAGGGTGTCGTCCCTCACACTGATGGGGGTGAAGCTCGTCTTCGTCATGGAAGGAGAAGCTCCCAAACTTAAAGCAGAAACCATGAGCAAGAGGACACAAACGAGATACGGAGGATTCAAGAAAGCTTCTGCCCCAAAGTGTAAACCAACAGCCACCAGCAGAGGGCGCTTCAACGCTGTGCTGCGAGAGGTCGGTCGGTCCTGCCCCAGACAGACACAGCGTCCTCCATCATTACTGGTTCAGATGTGTTCTTTAACTTTCAGTAAATTCAGCTTTTTTCTAAATAATATAGGACCACAATGAAAAAAGCGGAAAATTCAATCTTTAATTCAAGTTCATTTATTCAGTGTGAAAATAATCCCACATTAAAAAAATAATCCTTCTACATCAGATCATGTGTTCCACAGTTATCATCAGCCTGGATGTTCATTCTCTGTACAGCCCCCTTTGGACAACAATTGATTTGAGCTGAGTTGAAGGTTACGTTTTTCTACAGTTTTCAGTGTGACAGGATGCTTCTGCAATAAAAACTGAATTTATTTGAAGGCTTTTAACACATCTTAACCTTAAGCCAGTAGTTATGGAGGGTGCTGTATATATAAAGGCCTTTATGTATGTATCTATGAGTCCTGCTCTCTCCTGGATCACAGACTGCATCACTAAACAGTATTTTATACAGTTTATGTCCTCATTGTTGATCACACAGAGTAGTAAGGCTGCTACTTCCACTGTCAGTTATTTTAATCAATCTATAAAATGTCAGAAAAAAGGTTAAAAAAAAAGTCCTTCAGTGTTTCCCAGAAGCCTAAAACAACATAAACACGTTTTCTTTCATCCACAACTCAGATGTATTCAGTTTACAGTGACAGTGAGTAAACATATCAAAACATTATGTTCATGTTTTAAGAAGCTAGAATCTGAGAATTGTGACTTTTTTTATTATTATTTATTTACTCAGACCCGTTACACTTGCCTCCCGTGTCTGTAGTGTTCAGAGATGCTGGACTACCTGGGCGTGCCGTGGGTGACGGCTGCTGGGGAGGCCGAGGCCATGTGTGCGTACCTGGACTCACGGGGTCTGGTGGACGGCTGCATCACCAACGATGGAGACGCCTTCTTGTACGGGGCCCGGACCGTCTACAGGAACTTCAATTTGAACAGCAAAGTACGTTTGTTCGTTTCTAAATGTGGAGAAAGCTGAACCCACGTGTTGATTCAGAAGGCTGCTTTAGTTCCTCCTCTGTGAACTGCTCTGACTGTTCTGCTTGTGAATCATGTCTGTTCAGAAGTAAAACCTGAGCGCCTGTTAGAGCTACGATTTTGTATTCAGATTCCCCCGTTGATTTCCAGAGTGGTGACTCTAAATTGTCCGTAGGTGTGAATGTGAGTGTGCTTGGTTGTCTGTCTCTAAGTGTAGCCCTGTGATAGACTGGTTACCTGTCCAGGTGAACCTGCCTTCGCCCTGAGTCAGCTGGGATAGGCTCCGCCCCCCATGACCCTGGTGAGGATGAAGGTGTAGAGATGATGGATGGATGGATTTCCAGAGTTTGACAGCTTTTCTTCCTCCCTGTTTGGACTGTCTTGTGTGGGGAGTTTTTTTTGATTGTTTTTTTTAGTAATGAAGCAGGAGGTGCATCAGTGTGTTGTTCACACCTGTGCTGGCTGCTGTTCAGTTATATCAGCCGGCTCACATGCTCTCTCCAGAGCATATGGTTTGTTGCTTGTGTTTGCTTTGTTCGTTGCACTTAATTTTCCACCCATTCATGCACTGAAGACACGACCTATGTTGCTGTATTCCTTCCTAACTGGATCAATAAAACTCATGTGTGGATAAGCAACAGGAGTTCCCGTCCTCTTAGTTTTAGTCGTTATTTCTTTTGCATTTCAGAGCATCACTGATTTTACACTCAAAGACTAAACTGTTATTATATTATTTAAATAATCAACTAACAGATAAAATAAATGTTTTTGAAAGTTGCTGATCTACGTTTAGATATTGTATTAAGTAAAAATACAATTTACTGATCACAACAAATGGAAAAATCTGATTATGTTTCCTCTTCTGCAGATGTACCTCTCTGGGATTACAGGACGTAGTTACTCGTTACTCTATCATATTTTGTAGATGATGTAGTTGAAGAATTTCATAGATGAATCCATGATGGAAATGAAACTGCAGTCCCGATGCTGTCGTTTTAACTCCTGACCCAGGAAGTGGGTATTCAGATGCATAAAACTCACTTGCTTCGTTATGTTTCTGTCTTTGTCCTCCAGGACCCTCAGGTGGACTGCTACCACACTTCTCGAGTGCAGACAGAGTTACATCTGTCCAGGGAGAACCTCGTCGGTCTCGCCATTCTCCTCGGCTGTGATTATATTCCCAAGGCAGGAAGGACTTCCTCTGATATTTGCCTCATTTCTGTCAGTCTCTGATGTGAATGACTTGTGTTTACTGTAATTCTTTTGACGCTTCCATTAGGGCATACCAGGTGTTGGCAAAGAGCAGGCCCTGAAGCTCATCCACACACTGAGAGGACAAACACTTCTGCAAAGGTACAAACATACTCTGTGGATTATTGTCCTGCCTTTTAATTGCAGATAAATATTTTTTCTGCTTTGTGTAGATCGTATGTCGGGTTATGTTTGAGCTCTTGCGACCTTTCTCCGATCGCTACAGGTTCGTCCAGTGGAAGGAGGAGAGTACATGTGTGTCTGATGGAGTTGTGAAGAAGGTTCCTCACTGCAACGTCTGTCGTCATCCTGGTGAGTGCTGCTCTGCTCTGACCCCCCGTTCCTGATCCTGATTTGAGGTGAAAAGCAAAGCGGAGGGCTGACACGTCTCACACGCCGGCATTTAATCTGTCATGTTAAAACATATGTGAGAGACTTTTTTCTCTGACACCCACGTTTAGCTGTGTGCATGAGCTTAACGGACTTTTCCTGCTCTACCAAATGTTTCCTGTAATCCGCTGTCTCTTGCTCTCAGGCTCAGTGAAGGCACATGAGCGCGGAGGCTGTGTGCTTTGCGACAGTCAGCGGTTCTGTCAGCCTCAGGACTTTGATTACCAGTGTCCCTGTGACTGGCACCGCTACGAGCAGAACCGCCAGGCCTTGTCTTTTGAGGCGAACATCAGGAGGTACGCACCTTTCTGCAATGAGCTGCAGCTTCACTTTATTAAATAAATGTTGGAAATTAAAATCAAAAAGATGGAAAACAGGAGTCTCCATGTTCTCCCCGTGCAGCGTGGGTTCTCTCCGGGTTCTCCGGCTTCCTCCCACAGTCCAGAAACATGCTGAGGTTAATTGGTGATTGTAAATTGTCCGTAGGTGTGAATGTGAGTGTGCTTGGTTGTCTGTCTCTAAGTGTAGCCCTGTGATAGACTGGTTACCTGTCCAGGTGAACCTGCCTTCACCCTGAGTCAGCTGGGATAGGCTCCGCCCCCCATGACCCTGGTGAGGATGAAGGTGTAGAGATGATGGATGGATGGAAGATGGAAAACAAAAATGCAATGGCAGCACATCAGCATGGTAGTAAGTCTGTGTGGAAGAGATATAACTGATTATGGCTAATAAGCACTGAAATGGTTTGATGATTAACTGATTAGTTGATTATAAGGAAATGAACCGATAACATTGTTACAAGTAGACTCACAATCTGCAAACAGTAAAAACATAGTTCGTTATTTACATATGAATATTTCCAGTTTATTTTAAGTCCATCCATCCACCATCTCTCCACCTTAGTCCTCACCAGGGTCATGGGGGGCGGAGCCTATCCCAGCTGACTCAGGGTGAAGGCAGGTTCACCTGGACAGGTAACCAGTCTATCACAGGGCTACACTTAGAGACAGACAACCAAGCACACTCACATTCACACCTACGGACAATTTACAATCACCAATTAACCTCAGCATGTTTCTGGACTGTGGGAGGAAGCCGGAGAACCCGGAGAGAACCCACGCTGCACGGGGAGAACATGAAGACTCCACGCAGGAAGATCCCGGGTGTCCTCACCGGGACGCCAACCGGCGACCTTCTAGTTGTGAGGCCATGGTGCTAACCACTGCGCCACTTTGCAGTTATTCTACGTCTTCTATGATAATATTATTCATATCTCTGGGTTTTGGACTGTTGGTCGGAAAGCTCAAGACAATTCAGGGCTGTGAATCCTGGTAACCGGCGTTTAATGACAAGTGTTATATTTACTTTTTAGGAAAACTCTTGCAAGTGAGCAGTTCCCTTTTACAGAGGTACGGTTATTTTGATCTGCTTTGTAAAACTACTGTTTTATATAATAATCTGAGTACGTTTTTAATACGTAAACTGCGTCTCACAGATCATTCGTGAGTTCCTGGTTTCCAAGGATAAGCCCGTGTCACACTTCAAGAGGAGACAACCGAACATGCTGCTGATGCAGGTGACGGGTTATTAACTGGTTTATTCACCTCGCTGTCTGGTGTCTGTTCAGCGAGCTGCATGTGAACATTTCTGTTTTGTTTCTATAGAAATTTGCCCACGACAAGATGGAGTGGCCGAAGCATTACACCAGCGAAAAGGTTTTGGTCTTGATGACCTACACGGCGTTGATGAACAGAAAATATGCAGCAAACATGACCTCTCAGATTCAGCCTATCAGGTACTCCTAAAGTTAAAAAAAAAGATATCACTGTGATGATATTGTTGTTTTAAAGGGTTTTCATCACACACTTGTCTTTCCACTTCAGAATATTTAAACCAAGGGTGAGGAATGCCGTGGCTTGCTTCGAGGTCATCTGGAGTCCACCAGGTCAGTTTAGATCATCATGTGATCAGTGATGCTCTGTTTTCACATCATCTCCATGGTCTCACATTGTTAGAGGAGCTGGGAGGGGGGAGGGACATTCAGGAACAGAGTCCTGAGCTGACTGACAGGACTGCTGCGTTAAGTGGAGGTTGGGGTGCTGGGTGCTCGTCACCGGGTCGTCTGTTAGTGACGGGCTGTGAGGTGGGGTTCAGAGGTGACAGATCAGTCACAGCGGCCTCTAGGTGCTAAAGCGGCTTCCTCCCCGACCTGGGAAATCTGTCATATCAAAGTCCACATCACTAACAAGCCCGTCTGACATGACGGCCTGAGAAAGTCTCAATCAACTGACTCACAGTGTGCTATAAAAGGCAATATTTTAAAACAGCTACATCTATAAATACAACACATCACAGAAAACTCTTTATAAACTATCTGGAAACACGGGGCTGCAGTTTAAGGAGGGGACTGTAAAACGTAGTTATCTGGTTAAATAATCTGATCATCGTGACAGAAGAATGGAATGACGTTTATTTGTTCTACATGTGGATCAAGAAAGTACGTCAGTGGCACAAACACATCAAAACAGAATTACTTCAAAACCCCCAAAACAAAGAAAACGGCTTAAAGTTTAGGATTGTATTTACAACTTAAAGAATTACAGTATTTGTATTTTTTAAGGCTTTCTATTTCTAATGTTATATTTTTAAGGAACTTTTTCAGAACAGGGAAACTATATTTACATCATCAACACAACTAATAATGACAAAAAGAAACGAGGACTAAAATAATTAAAATTAGAGAAAAAATAACAGAAAATAAATAAAATAATAATAATAGTAATAGAATTGAATTGTAGTCTGTGCATCACATTGACAGGGTATCTTGATGTCAGTTGCAGTTAATGTCTGTTGTTTGTATTCTGTATAAAAATGTGGCTCTGTTTGTGTTTTTTCAAATATATTCTTCTGTGTTTACGTTGATATCGATGCATCAGCAAGTCGTCCAGCAGAGAAGCTGGAACAGACAGTATGTTAGTGATCAATAGAGAATGAGCTGAGGATCATTGATGTTCCACAAATCATTCAGATCAACTTCAGACACAGGAGCCTAAAGTTTGATAGTTGCTCAGATGTGAGAGTTTAGAGGTTTTGAGGGTTTTAACATGATGATAAATTCACTGTTTGGACTGTTGATCAGACAACATCAGGACATTTGATGATTTGATGGGAAAACTAACAGTAGATCCTGTGAAGCTAAAGGAGGGAGCCATACTTCTCTGTATGTAAGGTACATAACAGGCTGATGAGAGCGAGCTGGACCTGACCTCCATGCTTTGTTCTGCAGAACATTATGTGTTCCCTGAGGATCTGCCTGCAGAGGATCAGCAGGAGGTGAGGACGGTGGAGGAAGAGGCTCTGTTTGGAGTGGCCTACCCAGAGGTGGTGGAGAGCTACCTGAGGAACAAAGCTCTGGCTGAAGAGAACAGGACCAAGAGTAAGACAGCTGTTTCAGACAATGACTGTAAATGCATATTTGCTGATAAACGTCCTCTATTAGTTCTAATGCAGCCTTTGTCTGTTCAGACATTTGTAAAACTAACTATGAATGATGGTAAATGTCGCAACGTTTTTCGTAATTAAAGCTTCTTCGCCAGTTTCACGAGCTCTAAGACGTCCCGCACTGAGCTGACAAGGGCATCCGGATCAAAGGCACCTGGACCTGTGACTTGTTTTTCAAGGCTGTCTATTACAGCAGCCCTGACACCTGAAAATGTCGAGTTTGGCAGCTCGACCAGTTCACACCAAAGGCTTTGATGCAGCTGCGAGGTGTCTGTCTCGCAGGCTTCGCTGTCCCTTTAGCAAGCTGAGCTTCTTCTCCCACTGACTCAGTGCTGCAGAGCTTCACCTCCTAATATGAGAGAAACCTTGAGATTGAAGAAGCTCCACACTTGAGAGATGCTGGAGTGAATATGTTAAGATTAGCTGTGAGCTCCTTTAGATCTTGTTCTTCTGACGTTCTGTCTCAATTTCCTTCACAGAAAAGAAACCAAAGAGTAAAAAGGAGAAAGCGTCCGATGTCTCCGATGGTATTTCAGACCTCTTGGCTCAGATGACCATTAAGGGGGCTTCAACTCAACCAGAAATGCTGCCTCCTACCACTTCAAACACACACGAAGCAGAAGTGCTGATTCTGGACTCTCCAGTGAGCCAGAAGCAGCATCGAAAGGAAAAAGAAGATGGCAGCAGCATCCTGCATGATTACCCCAAAGCTCCTCTGGCTGGTGCTGAGTCCGAGGCTGCTGCTTCACCTTCTGTCTCTGCTGTTATTGATGCTCTGCACCTGAGTGATATTGACTGGGATGCTCTGTCCTTCACATCCTCTCCAACTCCACAAGCAGCTGCAAACCAGCCCACAGAGCTCCAGCCAAATAAAACCACAGACAGCCATGTCAGGGAAACAGAGGGTGGAAACGCCAAACAGAAAACCTCAGGCGATGTCATACCAGCAGACTCCAGATCAGCTCCAGAGCTGTGTCCTCTCAGAGACAGGCTGCTCATGAGGAACACAGCCAAAGCTCTGAATCAGGTGAACAATGATGTGGTCTCAAAACAGCTCGACTATGAGTTACTCTCTCAACACAGTTCCAAGGAACAAGCTAAGGGGCCGATCCCCAGTAAAGGTCGTGATGACTGTAGTTTGTCAGGGAAGGGATCTGCTGTTCACAAGAAGGAACCACTCACACATCAAACCCAGAGCTCAAAGGAGCAGCTGATGTCTGTAGCTCAAGCTCAGAATAAGACAAAAGAAGCATCCAGTGGCTCCAGAAAGCCTCCTCAGAAATATAAATTTGTCAGGACAGCTATTTCATCATCGGCTGTCCCACCACAGAGGTGCCACTCTGACCCGGGTCAAAGTGGCAAAAAGGACGCCAACATACTACAAACCACCAAGAAGAGTGTTTGTATGAGCGTGTGTTCATCCAGTGAGGACAGTGACGTAGAAAACCAGCAGGCTGGACCTCACAGACCAACAAAAACCAAGTCCACAAACCAGATCAAGGGCAGGTTTATTTCAGACTTAAACCCGAAACCAGTTCTTGTCCCTAAAATGAACAAACCAGCTGCAAAAGCTGGACACAGTCATCAGGTACCAACATCTCAGAGCCGCACACCTGCATCAACTACAATCAGACGTCAGGATGTCCCACCAGCTACCCTGGATGATGATGATGTGTTACTGCAGAGCCCAGCATCGCCGGTCACGGTGTTGGACAGTGACGACTCAGTGGTTGGTAGTGAGAGCCCGCTGCCCCTGGCTGAGAGGCTGAGGCTGAAGTTCCTGAAGTGAGCAGCAGCTACAGGATGATTAACATGCAGGTCCTTTTTCTGCACAGTCACACAAGAATAAGTCTCTACTTTGTCAAGCAAACATGAGAAACAGTTCATGGTTCCAGCTTCTCAAGTATAACAATTCTCTGCTTCTCCCTGTCTGACACTACGAGGACTTTAATGTCTTTGATAATGACTGTTAATTAAACATTCAGGCTGGATTTTCACAGTTTTTGATGTTTTATACATCAAATACTTCATCAAGAAGACTGAATCTTGCTATAACCTGATACTGTGAGCATAATGGAAATGTTTCTGTAAAACAATGGAGAACATTTTAAGTATTAAATGATAATTATTAATGAGCTGGAGAAGCTCCAGAACGTCTGCTTGTTGAGCCTTGACCTCAGAGTTCATCTGAACAGTGTTTTTGTGTCTTTCTCCTGCTTTTTGTGTGTATTAGCACAGTTTGAGTGTATAAATGCCTCCTGATGGCACCACATGTGCTCGTTTTGTCCCACTGCTCTGTGATGAGCTCAGTGAAACTTCCCAGAGCTGAAGGGAGAAGGCGCTGCAGCTGACGGGGACAGAGGACGCTGAGCCATTGGTTTTACAACCCGCCAGTGTTGGTCCCCTTGATCATGAGTGAGGCCTCACACCTTTTCAGACATGAAAGGTCTGGCAGGAGCTTGGTGACAGCTGCATCCTCTGGCCAAATAACAACCGAGTCCTACAGCAGCGGCTCTTTAATCTTATTTTTATTAGAATAAGAGACACAGATATACATAGAACAACAGCACATTGTCAGGATGCTGTGGCTCGTTTTCCAGTACGACTTATCAAATGTGTAAATGAGTCAATTTCTTGAAGCTTTGATGGAAACACATCAAGCTGCATTACTCCAGGTGGCATTTACACATTTAAAGACAAACTGGGTTTTAGGTCTGAGTAAGGACATATGTAGTGAATAATTTCACCATTTCCAGGCTGGAAAAATATAGATTCTGCATTTAACTGCTCTGATAAAATGTGTTTGTTTCAGTAAATGTTGGCTCTGTGACGGTCTGTTTTTAAAAAGTCAATAATGGTTCTGATCTATGGTCTCTATTCTGGCTATTTAACTTCCAGTCTGAGGACACACGTAGGCCTGACTTGTGGAGAGGTGTGAAGACGTCAGGTGAAGCAGCATCCTCCCACTGCTCCATTAGACAGATCACATCAAACTGACAATTGTCGTCATGCAGACTTTAGGAGTAATTTCCCACAAAAGGAATCTAATTATTTGTCTTTCTATCACATTATCCGTCTATTTGGCCTTATTCACACCCCAGTGATAACGAACGAGCTCCTTCTTGGAGGGTCGCGTTTTGGCACTTGCGGGTTTCTTTGAACTTTTTTTTTTTTTTTTTTCGCCTGAGCTGTGAACCCATAAACCTCCGGAGATCTGCTTCTGTATAAAAACGCTTTAGCCAAAATCACTTTCACACGATCTGCCTGTCATTCACCCTGAATGCCATCGTGGCTGCGCGGCCGTCTGGATGTCTACCATGGATCTGGAGGATGTCACAGCGACCATACTCTCCGAGTGGAAGTGCCATGAGGGCGCTTTTGGAGAGAATCAGGAGTCGCTTCAGTCCTCCTCAGCGGAGTCTGCGATGGACTCCATGTGCTCCTCACCAGAGATGTGCTACTCCACCGACCGCCAGGAGATCAAGGAGTTCTCTTTTGGCTTCACGGGGCGCAAAGTGACTTCGACGGCACAGAGGCAAAGCAAGTCAAAGATGTCCACCAAAAGACGCATGAAGGCCAGCGAGAGGGAGAAGATGCGGATGAGGAGTCTTGCGGAGGCGCTGCACCAGCTCCGTGACTACCTGCCACCGGACTACAGCAAGAGAGGCCAGCCCCTGACCAAGATACAAACGCTCAAATACACCATCGAGTACATCAACAAGCTCTCAGCCATCCTGAGCCGCGCGTAACGGACGCACCGTGGAGCGCTTTTACGCACCGGGTTTCCTCTCATCTGGACTCTGATGACTCAAGCAGCAACTTTAAAACTCAATCATCCGGATTCATTTCATGTTTTTCTTCCTCTTTTGTTGTCACATTCACGATGTAAATATTGTTCATCAGGCACTTGGTGGTATGTTTTTGTATATGAGGCTGCCTTTGTGGGAATTATGAATTCAGAGTTTGAACTTGTAGTTTGTAGTTATTTTCTTACACGGTATGAAATACACCTTTACTAATGACTCTTTCTAACGTTTCTGTGTTTATCTTAACAGCTAATTTAGATTTATGGGGACTGCTTTGATCTTTTGTTCTTTATTTTATGTGAATGATAGAATTTAAGAAGTTGTGTGATACTCTACAGTTTGATGTGCCTGAATGCTATGAATATTTTTTTAGGGATGGGAATGAGGCGGCCCGGTTCGTCACACATCATCCAGCCCGCTGTGTTCTGTGTGTCAGATCCTCCTCATCCATACAAACATGTGTTCAACATCTACAATAAATGTGTGTTCGTGTGTTGAACTTGTGGCCCAGTTAATTAATGAACCGTCTTGAGGCTGAAGACAATTGGAAGCACGTCAGCCGAGTCCTCCAATCAGAATGCCGGATTCCTGAACGCCGGTTGAATGAGGGCGCCGAGCAGCCAATCAGAAGCCAGTATTCCTCCCGGTGGGCGTGACCGTCTTGTAATGTTTTCCTCACAAAGAAATCCCAACCTGGGATGTCTGACTAAGCCGCCATTTCAAAGCGCCCAGGAGCTCCAGGAGCTGTAGGGGATTTTGTAAAAATTCTTTTTTTATTTTTCTAACATATTTTTATTTTTTCCTAGCAAGTAGAGAGAGTATTTTACTTTTTGAATCTACCTCGACTGCACCACCAATTGAAGTAAGTCCTGTCGGTGTGAGCGGAGCAGCGAAGCGTTTGAACCGCTCAGAAACGCCCCTTTTCCAATGATTAACGTTTAGCTTACAGAAGGACCGGTACTGAGCTCGTTCATGTCGTGTTTTCAGTTAGGAAAGAGGCTCTCCAATTTCTTAAATATTGTTCAGAACGAAGAAACTGTCGCGGACATTAAACTCTGTGTTTGTGTCCAGTCTGCTCTGCGATAGTAATTCCAGGAATTAGACGGGCCCCTCGGAGCTTTGCGTTGTAATTCCGTCAACTGGTCTGAACGTTAGCATCTGCGTGCTGAGCAGTATTAAGTAGAATTATCAGAGACTTGGAGTGTGTTTGTTGCACAGGCCTTCTCCTGCTGCTAGCTTAATATTTCAGAGCTCCAGCCGCCTCTCGGGGATCAGGCTAGAAATGTTTCCATGACGCTCGACGTGCCTCGCGCTCTGTAGGCTTATTTACTTGTACATACCGCTGTGGGAGTGAATGTATGTATATGTGACTGTCCTACATCCCACGGTCACAGGACTCAGGTTTATGCTCATGTTACCTGAAGCAGCGATACAACACCTCCAACACAAAACTAGTGCATGAAGACAACAGCTGCTAGCAGGAGTCTGTTTATGTTTGGATCTGAACAGGTCACGTGACAATGGTGTGTGGTAGATAAACTAACCACCAACACCTCCACCATGGCCATAGAAAACACTGATCAACATCCATCCATCATCTCTACACCTTAATCCTCACTAGGGTCGTGGGGGGCGGAGTCTATCCCAGCTGACTCAGGGTGAAGGCAGGTTCACCTGGACAGGTAACCAGTCTATCACAGGGCTACACTTAGAGACAGACAACCAAGCACACTCACATTCACACCTACGGACAATTTACAATCACCAATTAACCTCAGCATGTTTCTGGACTGTGGGAGGAAGCCGGAGAACCCGGAGAGAACCCACGCTGCACGGGGAGAACATGGAGACTCCACGCAGGAAGATCCCGGGTGTCCTCACCGGGACGCCAACCGGAGACCTTCTAGCTGTGAGGCCACGGTGCTAACCACTGAGCCACCTCACAGCCCACACTAAACATTTGAACCTTCAAAATGTGCGGTTAATTGCACGCCTGCATTCGTTTAGCTGGACACTCGTTAGGAGAGAGTTTGGAACAAACAGTATACAAGTGGTAAATAAAATAATACATACATAATACATCAATCTACAAAGGTGCTGAAACTCCGTTTATTAGTCTTTAAATGATAACAAATTACATCAAATCTTAAAACACTTTATTTTGCTTTATATTGCTCTTCCTTCAAGGTCTTACCAGGTGGGCTGTATTTCTGTTAAAGTCTTTATAACAATATCTGAGAATGTAGCTCTTCTAGAAAGGGGACGTGGTCCTGGTGTGGACCCGGTAAGCTGCTCTCTCACAGAAAGTTTTAAATGTCAAGTCAAACCTGTAATTTCTCCAAATATATGTCTGTTTCATGCATAACTCCCCTCTGCCTCCCGTCCATAACCTTCACTGCACACACACCAGACGAGCACCGACAGACATCTGGGCTCTGAGACGGTTCATTTTCCTGCTAACAGGTTTGACGAGTAGTTCTCCGTAGACTCGTCTCCTGCTTCAGTGTGAGCTCAGCCGACTGCTGATTAATGCTGAAATGCTGCACTGAGGTTTAAAATATGTTAAGCGATGTTTTTTCCCACATTGTAGTTCGAAAGGGTGTGAATTTAAACAGACAGCCGGTCACGTTCCCAGTCAGTAAATAACTGATATGATGACTTCTATCCGTCACACAGGTTTGAGGAGTTATTGGGAAAAAACTACCAAATACCTGAATATTCAGAATGGCACCTTTTTGAACAAACTGCTTCAGCTGAGATGAACAGTGGACGTTGAAATCAGTATAAAATAACAACAAAAGTCATAAACGGTGAAAGTACCATCTGAACATATCAAATCAAGTCACTGAGACCCAAATCATTCACTCGCTCATGAAGCAGCACGTCTCTGTTTCAGATAAACTTTGGTAAACTAGCTGCCATCTGTCCACATCCTGCTTCCTCACATTACAGCTGCAGGAACATATTTCTGCATCAATTCACTTTGTGCAAGAAGGACGAATTGTTCCTGGTGCACAGCCTGAAAAATGTGTTTCTATGTGCAGACAGTTTGTTGGACCAGTATTTTTGGTGACATCTTCTAATGTGTTTCTTGTGTGGATGAAACCGTTTGTTTTAACAGATGCTGATGTTAAATCGATTTCTGTTCATGCAGTCGTCCGTCTTTAACACGTGACTCATTCCAGATGGATGCAGACACAGAAGAGAAGGTCACAGAAACTTCAAAAACTTCCAAGGATGAGTCTGACAGACCTGTAGCTGAGTTCAAATCCAGGTCCGTCCTTCTCTGTTGCTATCTTTTCATGTATTTAGGGACACTAACGTTCAGTAAACAGGACATATCAGGTGTTTCTCCTGCTCCTTCCTTCTGATATCTCCCACGTTGAACACTAGAATGCTGTAGTTTGTATTCCCAAGCTGTAGTATTGTGATAGAACTTTATCACATGTTCACATCTGTTCATCATGATTTTCAGATGCAGCTGTGATTTCTGGGTTTTGGAATTGGAGATGTTTTGTACTGGAGACGTAGATATTACCCACACTGCTCTGGGTTCGGCAGTGTTGCGTACTGTAGCTTTACATAATTAAACTCTGACTAGTGACAGTGTTCATGTTGGTTTTTTTCCTCAGGGGTCGTGGTTTCAGAGGTCGTGGTCGAGGGGGACGTATGAGTCGAGGCGGTATGCGCGGTGGGCGGGGCATGATGAAAGGCTTTGGTCCACCAGGACACGGGAGGGGTCGGATGAAGGATGCAGCCATGAATGGATTTGGACCAATGAGGTACACACTTACTGATGAAATATCCATCCATCCATCATCTCTACACCTTCATCCTCACTAGGGTCATGGGGGGCGGAGCCTATCCCAGCTGACTCAGGGTGAAGGCAGGTTCACCTGGACAGGTAACCAGTCTATCACAGGGCTACACTTAGAGACAGACAACCAAGCACACTCACATTCACACCTACGGACAATTTACAATCACCAATTAACCTCAGCATGTTTCTGGACTGTGGGAGGAAGCCGGAGAACCCGGAGAGAACCCACGCTGCACGGGGAGCACATGGAGACTCCACGCAGGAAGATCCCGGGTGTCCTCACCGGGACGCCAACCGGAGACCTTCTAGCTGTGAGGCCACGGTGCTAACCACTGATCCACCTGCAGCCCCAGATGAAATATGCACAGTTTAATACATTCTGCTCCATGAAGCAGAGCAGTATGTGGGTGTTTTTACTCCTGTCACACTGTTTGCTCAGTTCTGACTATAATATAGAATCCTGCACCTCTATGAAAACGGCACAATAGTGTCTAGAAGTAGAGAAAACTGAACATGTGTGTTGTGTAGCATGATGGAGTTATAATGCAATAATTCCTTTATGTTGTGCACATGGACTCACATGTGTAACGTAACAGCCTCCAAGCGGCCACACGTATTAACCAGTAATGGAGAAAACGAGGACTCTCCATCCTGTAGGCCTGGTCCACTTCTGTCCTACCTGATGTGTGGAGACACAGCCTGCAGTTCAGCTGAAGAACTCCTGAATTTGTGTCACGGTTGTTTTGTCCGTTGCAACATTTCTGGGAATGCTGTATGTTGGCTGGTTTTTATCAGAGACGTGTACAATGAAGTCGTCCTGGTTGTAGATTCTGATTTTTAGCTCAGATTTGGTTGTTTTTCCAACAAAACCCAAAGTCACACACGAGTAGTTTAACATCTGACAGTTCTTCATGTTCTAGTTTCTCACTATGACGAGACAAAAGATGTTTTAGTTCCAAAGTTAAGGAGCTGCCACTGGTGTACCGTTAAAGTGCTTCACTCGTATCCGTTTGCTGAATCACTTCCCTTTCTTTCCTTTGCAGAGGAATGGGGAGGATGCGACCTTACCCAGACCTTAGAGGTCACCGAGGTCGAGGTGGACCAATGGGCATGGGCCCTCCCC